TACTTAAAATTTTATTAAGATAATCTATTTTAATTTTAATTAAAATGAATTTAGCATCTAAAAAAATATATAGTTATAGATTTTTTAGACAGATTTATTAATTATTAAAGCCTAAACAAGCTTTGGACAATCCTAGATGCTTGGAAAATTTTAGATTAAATAGCCAAAATGTACAACACTAGTTGAATCTGTTGAAAAAAGTAGACAACATTCTATAGTTGATTTATTAAATTTTATTATACCTGAATATGTAAAAAAAAGACTTTTAATTTCAAATAATACTACTATCAAACTTCATATATCTAGTGATGGTAAAAATATAAAACAAAAGGTTCAGCATATTATAGTAATAGCTATATTACTTAATAATATTAAAAGATTATATAAGCTAGAAGGATATTATATATTTGTTCTTTATTCAGGAACTGAAAAATATCAATCTTTTCAAAATACACTTAGTTTATTAATTTCTGATTTAAAAAATTTAAAAGAATTTGGTTTCTATCAACCTAATGGCTAGTATTGGAATGTAGAACTTTTTTTTAGCGCTGATTGGAAGTTCTTAGTTATTTGCTTAGGGTTTAATTCTGCAAATGCAACTCATTTCTGTTAATGATATACATGTACTAAACAGCAAAATGGAACTCTTAATAAACTAGTTGGTGATTGGTTGATTACTAAAAATATGAAACATATAAAGGAAAATTTTTTTAAAATTAAAAGACATTAACATGCACCATTATTTGACATGATTGATTTTAAGAATTGGGTTTGTAATGAGCTTTATGTAATGCTTCATGTTACAGACCAACTTTTTAAACTATTTTTATCTAATTTGCAACAAAATAGAGAGTTAGATAATGAAATTCAGCAAGAAATATTAGTAGAAATGAAACAAATTAAGGTGATATTTAAATTTTAGATAGACAAAAATACTAAAAAGTTATGTAGTACACCCTTGATAGGCCCAGACAAACTTAAATTTTACATAATTTTAATTTTAAGAACATTAGCACTTATTATTTATCAATAATTAGGCAAAATCAACTTAAGAAACTTTGAGATAGATTCACTAAATTATATAATAATTTATATCAGAATAAAATAAGTAGTAGTGGTTTTAAAAAAAAAGCGATTGAATAGTTAAAATATTTTTTAACTCTATCTCAAAGACATCCAAATAAAAATTTTGTACAGGAATTATATCGAGCAACAGATTGTACTCCATATATGCATATTTTAGTTTATCATATTCTCGAATTTATTGATATTCATAAAGATTTAGGATTAATAGCTTTTTTATATTCAGCTTTAGAAAAAAAAAATCATATTCAAGTATGTCAATATTTTCAAAATACATTAAAAGATAGTAGATATAATTGGTCTAGAAAATCAACAATTCTAGAAATATTAGAATACAAAAATCAGCAATTATTTTACTAGCAAGCAAATATTTCTAGTTATATTAAAAAAGTTACACAATATCAATTAAAATATTGAAATAAAAATACTAGTAGAGTTAGAGTTAAAAATGATTTAGTATTAAGTTTGTAGAAATAAAATTAGTAAGTATTATTATAGTAATTAAAATTAAAGTTAAAAAAATAACTATATACATATTATATATTTGCTAATTTGTTAAAATTTTCTAAAATAGAATATGTATTAAAGTTAAAGTTTTACTTAGTAGATACGTAGAATATAAAGCATTTAGTTATTTGCTTTATATTAATATACAATAAAGATTTTGCTTATATTTTGCTAAATAATATTTAGTATGTCTTTTATAATTTCATATTTATTTATATTAGTTCAATTGGTAAGTAATTGTATGTATAAAAAGTCTATTACGTACACAATTTTTTTAGTTAAAATTTTGCTAATCAAAGTAATATATTTATTTGGTTTTTTTTTGTAATACTAAATCTATTTAGCATATAAAAATAGAAAATATATAACAACTAGCCAGTTCTCTAAAGTTTATAGCACAAAATTTTTATAAAGAAAGAGTAATTAAATAGAGGCACCTACAAAGAATGCAATCCAGAATCTTTAAGATCTTGGTCTGAAAGGTAACCAAGAGACACCCAACATTAACAAGAGTATCAGTTGTAATTTTTTTAATAAAAGTAGTTCAGATTATATAATAAGTTTATAAACTATTTAAGCAAATACCTCTGCGATATATAATCTTCCATGTTATTAAGATGGAATAAAGATTGACAGTTTAACTATAAAAAGCTATGCAGAGACAGCACCAAGGTTTGTTGAAAGGTACATTTAAAGGCATATTATATAGGCAAAAAAAAAAAATTAAAATTATATTGCCTTTACTAATAAGTTGGTTTTTTAATTCAATTATTTAAAAATATATTGTATATAAAATCATCTGTCTTCTAATCTAGCTCTTGTATTTTTTTTTAGAATTTTACTAAAACATATCTATAGTGTTTTACACTATAGATTCCTATTGTTCAAAAACATACTAAGTAAATGGGATTAGGTACTCTAAGTAAAATATCAGGACCTCCAAAAACCTCACAAAAACTAAGATCAGTACTTTATATTAGCTCTATATTATATTTAGAGTTTGAGACATAGAGGCATGGGCATGCTTATAGGCATGCCACTTGGTCATTAGGCATGCTCTAGTTATGTAATATATGTGTCGTATCTGATTGGCTAGCATGTCATAGTTGAGATTATCAGAGTTGTAAATTTTTTAATATTTAATTAGTATAATAACAACAAAATTTTAAAAAGTTCTGTAAAAATCTTTTATAGTAATTATGATAGAAATCATGCAAACTTAACCATATATTGTGGTCACCAAAATGCAAGTTCTGTAACAGTAAGTTATGATAAAGTTCTATAACTGAATTTTTTAGTAATAATAATAGAAATCAATATGCAGTAATTATCAGAATATGTAGCAAGAATTTTTTACAGTAACTTATAATAGAAAATTATGTTATTTTTAATGCAAACTAACTAACTTTATTAACTACATACTTTAATCAACTACATACTATATATTACTATAAAAATTTTTTACACTAATTTATAATAAATTACTATAATTCTAGCAACAGAATTTTTTTACATTAAACATTTATGAAGCACTAGTTTTCTATATAAGAAAAGCATATCTATAGACACGAGGAGCATGCCACAACTTAGAGTATGCCTGATTTTTTATCTGTGTCTCTAACTCTAATTATATTATAAATAAAAAAATAATTTTTAATACCTAAACCCTAATTCTAAATTTTATTAAAAACAATTAGATAGGTGCTAAAACACCATAGGTGCATTTTATAATAATTGTTTTTTTATTTTTTGGTTGGCAATTTTATTAAGGTTCAAAATATCAACATTTATTTCATTGATTAGATTAATAAAGAGCTACAAATTGTACTTCAGAACAGTTTGAAAAAAAATAGTATTATAGTGGAGTTGCTTAATATAAAACAGTGATTAATAGATTGAAAAAAAAGAATAAGAATTTATTACTTTTAGATGGTGGTGATTTAATAGAGCATTGGTATTAAAGCTAAATAGAAGGTACAATAAATTTCAAAAGAAAAAAAATTTTATCTTGGTAGGTATTTATATATATTATAGCAACAGGAAGAAATGTTATTATTACACAACTAATTTTATATATGATGTGAAATACAAAAAAATTATTTTACAATACTTGATTAAACTTGATTAGTTAGCTAATACATGTTACGATTATATTTCAACATTATTTTTTTATAATAAAAAATGGTGTTGGATTATAATTATAGTATATACTAGCTGACTAATCAAGTCCAATCAAGTATTGTAAAATAATTTTTTTATGTGTTTCACACTATATATAAAATTAGTTGTATAACAACAACATTCTTTTCTGTTTATTTAGCGGTTTACAAAAAGGTGTGACTCTATGATTTCATAATGATGATAATGAAAAAATTTCTACAATTTTTTTTTATTGATTATAATTTTAATTAATAATGTTTATATTTTATTTGAATTGAAAAATCTACTAAAATTAGCTGATTTTTTGTGTTTTTAAATGGCATCATAATTTGCTAAGAGTATACCTTTTTGCAAACCACAATAATTTATTTGATATATGGAGTGGAGTAAATAAAAATAGGACAAATTTATCTAATAAATTTGTCCCATTTTTATTGACTTCACTCTATATTTTTTATTTATATTAATTAAATTAATATTAATTATTAAAATTCACAAATATTTAGATCTATTTTATTTTATTATTAACTTGTTGGGTAATAAAGGTTATTTATTTAATCGGTATAATTAAATATTGTAAATTAGATAAATTTGCTAATATTTACTATATTATATTATAGCGAAAGATTTTTGATATTCTAAATTGTCTATTAATTTATATTTTCAATTGGCTATATTTATATTTATTTAAAGTTGATAAGATTTTTTAAAATCTATAGAATCTCAGAGTTTCACACAACTTTGTAATTTGCAGAGATCCTATTTTTTTGCAAAGTGCAATAATTGACTATAAAATTATCATCTTTAAGCACTTTACTTAATGAATAAATATAAGTGCAAATTACTTTTAGAGTTACTTTAAATTAGTAAATATTTCTTAAATATAATATATAATATATATAAATATTATTTTTATAAAATATTTTAGCAAATAAAATATAATAATTTTTTATTGTTAAAACAATGCATTATTAGTTAAAAATCTAAATTTTACAGTTCTGGTATAACAATTATAATCTAATATATTATAAAATCCGTTTATAGTCCATTCAATATATAATTTAGTTTGAAAGTTATAATTTGTTTCATCTACTAATTTAACCCAACTAAGTTGACCATTACCATAATCTCGTTTTCCCCACATATCATCATTAAAGATATTTGTTAATATATCATATAAACTATCTCCACTAAAATGACATTGATAAAAATTATTATATGAAGAATATCATGTAAGATATTTACCAAATAGTTCTACAAAGGCATTCTTACTACTAGTGATTTGAACTGAGAAAAATTTCCTTAATCGGTTAACCGAGCCGAATTATTTTATTCAACCGGTTGTCAATCGGTTGATGGAAATTCTCAGAGCTTTGCTCAAATGTTTGTCTTAACTTAGTCGTCTTTTATTTTCTTTCCAGAACTTTTCAGAGCCTTTGCTCCCTCCTTATATCATTTTCATACTATATCAATCCTGCTAACCGATTACCTAATTCTCAACCGGATGTATCGGGTCAATCGATTAAGAATTTCCTCAACTGGTCAACTGAACTTTATTCAGTTTGGGACGATTAACCGATTATAGGCCAACCGATTCAAATCACTACTTACTACAATATAAAGAAAATACTTAACTTTTAACAGTGTGATAATGATTTTTTAGATACTTCTGAATTTCCTAAATCATAACTTTTTTAATATAATTAAGCTCATAGTTAGATAGTAGTAATATATATAAAGGTAGTTTATTATATTCCTTATATTTTATAGTTTTATAATATTAAAGACTACGTTGAGTTTTATAAGATTATGAACATGTACGAAAAGAACAGTTAAATCTTGAAGTACTAGTAGAATTAGACATAACTAAATATTTTAAATAGTTAATATATAAAATAAAGACTATATAATAGTAAATTCTAGTATACTATATACTTATTGTCAAGGATGATGCTGAAATCGGATGATGCTGAAATCCACGTGACATCCGTATCAGCGGATTTTCTAAAATTTCCGCATCTCATGTAATGATATGATAATCAAAAAAAAACAAAGCCTCCTTCGTAGCACTATATATTCCAGTATTCTGCTTTGAGGACCGGATTAAAGTGAATAAAAGTGAGTATAAAGAATTTCCGCCTCAAAACGTAAGATTAATGAAAAAAACTTACCATTTACTGTAAAAAAAGAGTTCACTGCCGTTTGCTAGAATTAGCGAAGTATAAGAAACGTAAAAACAAGAATTAGTGAAGAGAAAAAAAAAAACAAAAAAAAAGAAAACAAAAAAAAAAGAAAACAAAAAAAAAGAAAACAAAAAAAAAAAAAGAAAAAAAAAGGAACAGAAAAAAAAAAAGCATACCAGCAATTCCAAAAATTCCAGAAACTCCGGGGAAGTTTCAAACAATCGTTGAATACCTCCAATCAAAGACCATACTAAACGATATCCAACGGGATCCCACAAAAAAATCCAATTTTATTCGTCGTTGCAAAAAATTTGAAGTCGACAAAAATAACTTCCTCTATGTTCGGCCAGTTGAGAAGGATGGTGTGATGTTGGAAAAACGTCGGGTGGTCCCCAAGTATGATGAAGAAATGCGTATTCTAATTTTGGGGTGTTTCCATGACCAAGCGAACCACTGGGAGTACTATAAAACTTTCTCCACAATTTCAGAAAAGCACATCAGAATTACGCAGGAGGAAGTAAAAGCGTATGTGAATCAGTGTGCTGCTTGCGCAGTAACCACCTCCATCAAAGAAAAAACCAATATGAAAAACGAGTATCACTAGTACTGTGGCAGCATGTTCAAATTGACTTAATCGATTTCTGAGATTTTGCTAAAGTCAATGGTGATTTTGCGTGGCTACTTACGTGCGTCTGTGTATTCTCTAAATTTTTGGTTGCGGTTCCCATGAAAAACAAGGAAGCAAGTACGGTTGCAGGGCATTTTCTAAAAGATGTTTTTAAGATTCTTGGACCCCCTATGATTCTTCAAAGTGATAACGGTAAGGAGTTTGTTGCAAGAATTATCACAGAAATTTGTGGGACCCTCAATATTACAATTAGGCACAGTAGGCCTCGCCATCTACAGTTGCAGAGTCAAATTGAGCAACTCAATCAGACTGTGGATCGCAGTTTCACTAAGTTGCTTTGGGATAAAAATAACCAGTTACAAAGAAAAGACTGGATTAATGTAATAGATGTGTTTGTGGTGTTGTATAATTCGACCGTTCATAAAGCGCATGGTCACACACCACATGAAGCAATTTTTAGATGGAAAATGCATTGTGTATATGATACTCCTGGTCTATATCATTTTTATTACAAAAATCAAATCAAAATTCAAATTGCAACTACTAAACTTAGAGTTTTTCTGTTTATAGCAGGTCTCTCCGGAACCGCCACCGCCTCTGAGACCACCACCACCCCCGAGACCACCACTACTGAAACCACCACCACTGAGACCACCACCCTGAAACCACCATCACTGAGACCACCGCCCCCGAAACCATAACAAACAAAGCTGCTGTGGAGAAACGCATTTCATATATACTTGAAATTCATCAATTCATAAATGCTTCACTTGAAAAATATCGTGAAAAATTAGGCCGTCGTAGTGTGCATAGGAAAAAAATGGTAAATAACACAATCGAAGCCAGAACTGAAGTTGCTATTGCGCCCAATCATGACATGAATCAACAAACTCGCAAGAGGAAATTGCAGCCGAATTTTTCA